GATAGTGCATGCTTACTTTTAGTTTCTGTCTTAAAAAGACAGAAACTAAAAGTAAGCATGCAGACAAGTAAGATGCAGACACTTATACCGAGTTCAAAGGAAGAACTTAAACAGTTTTTAAAGCAGAATGTTAAAAAAAAATTGTATATAATCTAGAAACATTTCATATTTAAAGGTGAAGGGACCCTAAACTTGAGAAAGTTTTTTAAAACCCACTCACAAACCTCTTCAAAATATTCTTACTTCATCTTTTGTAGACCACATTTTTTCTGTCTTCCATGTTTTATATAAAAAAAAAAAAACTCCACTGAGCTCCTTCACTCTAGCTCACAGCCACATCTTGTCCCTGATAGGATTTTGAGATGTAAATAAAAGCTGAGATTTTTCAACTTCTGCTAAATTTGCAGGCTAGGCAGCGATAATATTTCAACAAATTTGCCAAAATCATGCTATTCACCTCCCTAAATTCAACGCCTTTGCCTTTCCCTCCAGATCCGCCCTCTACATAGAAATAACATGGGAAGCCTTGTGTCCAGCTGCGAAACTCACATTGAATATGAACGTACCTCAATTGAGTGCCCAACCAGCCTACGGAGAAATCTCATTTTAGCCGCTTTTATGTGGCGTCTCGTTCTTTTGGTCATGATCCAGATTTCATGGCATTGAGGATGATAGGCACATAGACCGACTGGAAAATCAAGAACTTTTTGCTCAGCTCTCACCTCAAAGGAGCGATAAAGAACCTCCATTCTCCCCTCACTTGTGACCCGGGTCCCAAAATACTTGAACTACTCCACTTAAAGCAGGAACTTTGCTCCAAACTGCCCCAATGCATGCTGTTTATCTTGGCAGGAGGGAGACAGCACATGTTCATCATCTGCAAAAAGCAGGGAAAATTTTGCTGGGCCCCAAACTAGACCCTCTCTGACCCTTGGCTGCACATAGAAATCCTGATTATAGCTATATGAACAAGATTTCTAGTTGCAATGACCAAACTCCTAACTTATTATGATTCTATCTTGCTGTAATTATTTTGGGAGGCCTTATGGTATGTTTATTGGCTTTATATAACAATTTTATGGATCAGTTCATGATTTTACTAAAGGTAGCAATTACCTGCTAGTTAAGATAAGTTTTTCCTTAATAAATTAATTTATTATTTAAAAAACTGCTTTTTTAAATCATCATCATCTTTATTTATATCAAGCTTTAAAACACCTACAGCTGAATCCAAAGAGTTGAACATAGCTAAAAATAATAAAACACAATAAAAGAATAAAGCACAGCAAAAAAAAATATGAAATAAGGCAAAAATATATAAATAAACTGAACTCAATTGAATTAAAACTTTTTGTTAAGTTTCTGAAACATAAAAACCAAAAAGGAAACATTATTATATTTATAATAAGGAGGATTATTTTAGCTGCATTGTACACTGTAATTACATCCTATTATATCTAGTTATGTAAACATAATTCTTTTTTGTCCTACTTGTTGCCAACATGAAAAAAAAAATTGTTAGTAACTAAATATGATAGAGAAGATGCCAAAAACATTGTATTGTTTATTATTTCTTTCAATGTGTGCAAAGATAATGAAATGCGCTTCATTTTTATCTGTTTCTCCTAAAAATACCAATGCTCAAGATAAAGACCTAGTGAGTCTTTTTTATAATCTACTGCCGTTAGATAACATATCTTAAACATACAGTAGTTCCACAGAGTTTTATGATACTTTTAAGTAGCTGCATTTACTAATGGAAAACAAGTGTCATGCATGCATGTAACAGGAAAGACGCCGTTTCCTTGAAACCCCTCAATGACTTCCCTCCTACACTGTAATACGGGCTGTGACTTTTTGACTCCGAAAAAGGAAGCAAAGATTCAGTATTAGCTTGAAAGAATGACAGGGTCATATACCATATTAATCATCAACGGATAATATATTTCAGCAGAAATGATTGTATCAGTCTTCACACCGTCAAATCTCAGTTTGTTGTAAAGGAAATACCTTTAAACTATTTCAGTGGTCAGTCTATTTCCTGCATATTATGCTATGATCAGTGACAAGAAAAACTGAACGTCAGAATGTTAACTTGGAAAAGCTCTTATGGTCATGTTTTAAAGGAACACATTTACAAGAGAAAATCCACTGCTGACCTATTGATTTTAACTGTCCAGAATCCCATTTTGGAATTTCAGCTCAGCAGTTAACATTGGCGGCCATTAGCTGAAAAACTTCCAAAACCAGGTGCTTGAAGTATTAATAAGAGTACATAAATATGCACAGTAAAAAAAAGGGGATTCATTTTACAAAAAAGCAAACACTAACATGATAATGCATATTTTTATTGAAAACAACTGTCCAAAAGCATGTGAGTGTTTGAAATACTATAGTAGCAGCTAAGACAATAAATGATGCGGTAGTGGAATTACTTTTTTTGTTTGTTTGTTTTAAAAAAACAAAAACAAATGTACAGCATGTTCCACTAATATACAACATATTGCCAAAAGTATTCGCTCACCTGCCTTGACTCACATAATAGCTAAAGTGACATCCCATTTCTAATCCATAGAGCAAGGGTGCTCAAGTCCAGTCCTCAAGAGCTACTATCCTCCAATTTTTTGATGCATCCCATTTTTAACACACCTGAATAAAATGAGTTCCTTGTTACCTTGCCTCTGCTGGGCTAAACGAGGGGATTGAGCCTTTCGATTCAGGTGTGTTAGAGAAGAGATGCATCTAAAAGTTACAGGATGGTAGCTCTTGAGGACTGGACTTGAGCACCCATGTACGGTGGCCCTGAAGTGCAAACTGCAACTACAAATCTAGAAGCGCAATCACATAAAGCAAAGCACGACTACATTAAGAAAAACAAAACTACATAAAGCAAAGCGCAACTACATTAAGGAAAACACAATTACATTAACCTGCCGGAAAAAGTAGGTACCAGTGGGAGACATGAGACATCGCTGATTGGACGACGGTGCCGTTTGACCTTTGAACCGGAAGTCATTCTGCCTGCTGCGGCTTTTGAAAACATGGATATTGTCGGCGCCCCAAACATAGCTGCCGTTATCCAGGAATATTTTGAATCAGGACATACGTACGAGGTGATACTGGATAAATGCTCAAGACTAATCACGAAATTTCAGTCAGTTTGCGTACACTGAAAACACACTTAAAAGAAGCTGGACTGTTCAGACGACGCAACTTCTGGTTCAAGGGTCAAACGGCGCCATCGTCCAATCAGCGATGTCTCATGTTTCCCACTGGTACCTACCTTTTCCGGTAGGTTAATGTAATTGTGTTTTCCTTAATGTATTTGTGCTTTGCTTAATGTAGTTTTGTTTTTCTTAATGTAGTTGCGCTTTGCTTTATGTAGTTGCGATTTCCTTAATGTAGTTGCGCTTTTAGATTTGTAGTTGCAGTTTGCACTTCAGGGCCACCGTACCCATGCCATAGAGGGTTCAAAATGAATTTGGTCCACCCTTTTCAGCAAGAACGGCTTTAGCTCTTCTCGGAAGGCTGCCCACAGAGTTTATGGGAATTTTTTGACCACTCCAAAAGCACATTTGTGAGGTCACACACTGATGTTGGATTAGAATGCCTGTCTCCTAATCTCCACTCTAATTCATCTATAGCTGTTCTAGCAGGTTGAAGTCAGGACTCTGTGCAGGTCAGTGAAGTTTATCCACACTAGAACCTCCCATTCAGCGTTTATGGACCTCGCTTTGGTAACTGGTGCACAGTCATGTTGAAGCTCCAAACTGTTCCCTAAAAGTTGGGGGTTATGGAATTGTCCAAAAGGTCTTGACAAGTCAAAGATTCAGAGTTCCTTTCACTGGAACTAAGGAGCCAAGCCCAGTTCCTGAAAAACAACCCCACACCCCCTCCACCAAACTTTACACTTGGCACCATGCAGCCAGGTTAAGTACCATTCATCAGGCAACCTCAAAACCAGACATTTCCATCAAACATCCGAATGGAGAAGCTTAATTGTTTACTCCAGAGAGCTCATCTCCACTGCTCTGTAGTCCAGTGACATCATGCTATATACCAATGCATCCAACACTTTGCATTGTACTTGTTGATGTATTGCTTAACTGCTGCTCCACCATGGAAACCCATCCCACCAAGTTCTGTTCTTGAGGTAACCTGAAGGCCAAATGAAGTTTGGAAACGAGTAGCTAGACTCTGTTGAAAGTTGGCGAAGAATTCTGAGCTTCAGCATGTATTACCCACCCCATCAGTTGACATTGTCATGATTTTATCTAAAGCTCTGACCCACATGCAGAAAACCAAACAGAGAGACCAGGGAAAAGTTTAACAGGTTTTATTAAGAGTAGGTAGAGAGGAGTCCAGTGCTGCTCTGAACACTGTCTAACCGGGACTGAAAAGTGAAGGGGAGGATTCTGCGGATAGTTCAGGCTCTGTGGGAAATTTGTGTCTTTGATTTGAAGAAGGGAATAAAGGCAACAGGACTCACGTTTCCAGAAAAAGGTGTCTTTCGTTGAATCCAGTCGGTGTAGGTTGTTCCAGTTATAGACTAGTAGTTACACTGGTTGAGGTGTTTCCTTGAGGAACGGAGGAGCTGACTGCCACTTAGATTTCCTGCGGTACTTGAACGGTTTCTTGTGGAGATGAATCTCCTGCTCAGAGAGACGCCCCAACAATCCTTGGGGAAAAGTAGATCCAAACCACCAGTTTAAATCCTCAGCTCAGTTTAATGCTCAGAAAATACTTCCAGGGGGCAGAAGGTCCAAAACATCCAGTTTGCAGGATGACTTCCTGCCGAGAGGCAAAGACAAAAACAACAAGACTAAGACTCAGGTGATAAAAATACTTTTCTCTTTATGAAATCATCTGTACATCATTTGATTTCCTCAGATGTTGAGACATGTAGGGAAGAATCAGGAATGACAAATGAGAGGCTGTACTTCTGCTTTTAGAGCTTAAATCTAAGTTCCCTTCAGAGGGCTTTCAGTTCACAAAGATCACTAGAGTGGAAGAGACTTTCTTTGCTTTTTCTTTATGAATTCATTCGGAGTAAGGATGGTCAACCACATCTTGTTGAAGAGTGTGCTGCTCGCTGTAACCTTGATGGTCACTTCTGGAATTCCAGGTAAAGTCAAACCTAAACTCAACAAAGTTTGGAAGCATAAACATATGTTTTTTTCATTTTTTTAGGTTAAAACATTTTTGTCTTTGATTTTTAGATAAGCTGTTTACTTGCTGTAAGCAAGTCAGCACAAGTGAGATAACGGAACCAATATTAACATATCGGATCCAGCAGGCAGATCCTCCATGTGTTACTGCCGTAATGTAAGTATGAGGAATATCTCTACCAATACCAACTCTGCATTAATTTGGATTGCAGTAATTCAGTTTAAACTATAACAAAGAAAATCAAATGTAAACAATTTAAGGTGAAACGTAGTGTCTAATTTCATTCTCAATATCTTTCTATTCATTTATCAACAATGTAAAAACAACAGATCTATTCATCAGTTCACTTGTTATTTTTCTCCTGCAGATTTATTACAGAAAAGGACCATTACTGCATTTATATAAAGGCTCCATGGGTGAAACGGAAGGTTGCAGAGTTAAGGTGACTTTAGAAACAGGAGACACCAGCCTCAGCTTTTCTTTAAATCTTAAAAACCAAGTCCAGTGGATATTTTTTTTTTGTTGTTGAATTTTTTACGGAATTTAAATCTTAAACTCTGCGTTTTTTCACGAATGTTTTTTCTCATTTCTCTAATAGAGCAAGAGCTTGGTTATCTACACATAAGGTGGTCAGCTCAACGCCTCTGTCACCATCATCTTCACTGCCATCATCATCATCACCATCATCATCATCATCATCATCATCATCATCATCATCATCATCATCATCACCATCATCATCACCATCCTCCTTGCTCCTCTCCATCATTACATCCACCACTTCTCCTCCCTCATCGTCCGTAATGCTACCTTATTCCTCATCATCCCCATCATTCCTCTCTTCTTCTTCCTCCACCATTGCAACCAGTGAGACTTCGTCTAGAACCACAGATGAGAAAAAACGAATCTCCTCCACAACCAGCTAAGAAAAAGGAAAAGCTAACGTGCTTTTCCATATCCCAACTGAAGTCAGAGAGACTTAAGGAATAGAACGATGCAAAAATCATAAATTAAGTGAAAAATTTCTTTTATGTTTAATAATAATATTTAGTAATTATACGTTTTTTTTACTACGGTATTTACTATTTATTTAACTTTAACTTAAATTTGTACAATCTAAAAACCTTATTTAGACAAAGACCTCTGTGGTTATTATTTAATGTCTGTTTTTGTCATCAAAGCAAAAATAAACAACAAAATCCATATAAAGCCTGCAGTTCAGTTTTATTGAATTGTTATAAAACTTGATACCTGTTGTGTGGGTTAACCAGAATTAAGTTTAATAATCATGGTAATATACATTTAAAACAACAATATTTACATGCATTAACTATTAAAAAATATATTGTTTTAATTTCGATAGTGAGATCAGCTTGCTAAAGCCTAGATGATGTCATAACTGTAAAACTTAAAGGCACACTATGCAACATTTTTCAGTTAATTAATGTGTTCCATAACGTTTTGGATGATTAAATGAGTAATTTCAGGTTGAACAAAGGTATTCTCGGCCGCCCTGGTGGTCTGTGGGGGAAATACCGCACCTGCAATTGCAGGAGCCCTCGACCCGCACCCACAGGCTCAGAAGTCTCGCGAGAGTCGGTCTTGCTTTACGGCGAGAACTGCTACACGCCCCCAGTTAAAAGCATGCTCGTTGCTAGCACAGTGGCGATCTTTGTGCAGTGCTGCTTTCACACCGGACACAGCAAAAGCAGCAAAATCGTGTCTTCTGCTTCCTTTTTGCTGCTTGTACCAGTTAGTTCTGACGCGCGGCTGAAGCAGCTTTGCTGCTCTGGCTGCGCGGTGCAAAAGTGTGTCTGACGCGCGTTGGGCGGAGCATCACTATCCTTTCTCTGACTTGCAGCTATATTTGCTGTGATCAGTGGGAATAAAGTAGTTTTAATATGTTTTTAAGTGAGAAAATCCACCTGAAAACGTAATCAGTGCAGTCAGTTCATTCAGATTATCATCCTGCCTTCCAATATTTTTTCTGTCGGAGCCGCTCAGACCCCCACATACCATCGCTGCGACAGTAGGAATCCCTTCAACAACAGCCTCTGGCCGGGTTGCCTCCTCGCGGTTCACCGCGGCAGCTGGTAGGTGTTTTTCATCTAAATAATCCAAACTGCGGGCAGCAGGATAATAAAAGCCAACATATTCTGCCGGCAGATTTCTGCATTTTAAGTTAATTTAGGCGTCTTAAACTGTTTAAGAGGAGTGATCATAGCGCTCTGATCATCAGCGCTGTGTCTCTCTCCCTGCCAGCTCCCAGATCAGCTTCTCTGATTGATTGACGCGGCGCGTCGAGCAGCAAAAAATAAATTTTTCCATCTCGAGCAGCAGCGCGTTTGTGGCGCGTCTCGCGCGTAAGTTGCTTAAACGCGCCCGACGCGCGTCAACCATTGACTTTGCATGTAAACTCGCTGCTTCTGTCGCACCAGCTGCGTCCGGTGTGAACGCAGCATTATCATGGCGGAACCAGCGTGAAAACAGCAAAAGCCCATGTCGGAGCAGGCAAGAAAGAGGAAAAGGGCTCCGGACAGAGAGAGGAGTCGTACACGGGTGAACATCGGGCAAGCTTTTTCCGAATGGCGAGAGCTAAAATAAAAAGAAGGCTGCAAGGCTGACGCGGACCTCGCGTTTCTGCTGATGCGATTGTAAGTAACATTGGAATGGTTTCTCTCTCTCTGTGTGCATGTTCATACTTTCACTGTGTTAGTCATTCGTTGCGTTCGCCTGTCTGCTAAGCTCAAAACAACCGCGCCTGGCTTGACGGAGAAACCAGGAGAACAGCTGAGCGTATTTACGACAGTGCACTTTTACTTTCGCCCTCTGGGGGGAGCCTCGCTGGAAAATCAACACCGGTTGCATAGTGTACCTTTAAGATATATTATTTCACAAAATTCGAGATAAATAGAGGGATGCTGATTCCTTTTATGACATCAGAGACAGATCAAAATAAATAGGCAGAAGTAATGAGAAGAGAAGTATGGATCTCGAAAGATCTGGCCTTTTTATACAATGATCATGTCAGTTTGATTCCCAGCCCAAGGTCTTTCTGCATTGAGTTTGCATGTTCTTGTTGAGCATGTGTGGGCTCTCTCCAGGTACTGTGGTTTCCTCCCACAGTCCAAAAACATGACTATTAGGTCAACTGGCTTCTCTAAATTCTCCTGAATGGTTGTTTGTCTTGTTTGTCCAAGTGTTGCCCTGCGATGGACTGGCGACCTGTCCAGGATGGACCCCTCCTCTCGCCTATTGACACCTGGAGATAGACACCAGCACTCCTCACAACCCCAGCAAGGATAATGCATGATGGATGGATATATGTATATGATAGATAGATAGATAGATAGATGGATGGATGGATGGATGGATGGATGGATGGATGGATGGATGGATGGATGGATGGATGGATGGATAGATAGATAGATAGATAGATAGATAGATAGATAGATAGACAGACAGACAGACAGACAGACAGACAGACAGACAGACAGACAGACAGACAGACAGACAGACAAGATAGATAGATAGATAGATAGATAGATAGATAGATAGATAGATTTCAATGCAATGTTTACAGTAGAAAAATGTTGAGATGTTCCAGCCATTAAGCAATTCAGTAAGTACAAAGAGATTTCTGTGACACAAATTTAACATGTTTCTGATGCAATATGTGGGAATGAATCCCAGAACAAGAGTGAAGACACAGTAAAGAAGACGCTGGATCTGGTAAAAGAGCGTCAACATCCACAGAGAGACAGGTTCTGTACCAACAAAGGCTGGAACAGATTAAGAGAGGAAGAAGCCATTACTCCAAAAAGCAACGTATGAAGCTTGACTACAGTTTGCAAATGAAAACAAACACATTCATTTCCGGAGAAGTGTCCTGTATTTTAATAAAAATAAAATTCTAATGCTTATCTATGTATATTGACTATTGTAATTTCAATCTGGAAAAGCTCACATGGAAAGAAAGAGACAATTAGAAGAATTTTATTGATACAATTACTTAAAGACTTTGGCGCTAAGACCTAATCAATTAAATTTCAATAAGGTTTGCTATATTTTTTTCAGTGATGGTTACCATTTCTCATGCTTTGGTATCACTGTGATGCTTTTCTTTTTGTTCTCACGAGAACTTGACATTTGACAGGACTGTATGTGTAATGATCACTACAGATGGTCCCAGAATTCAGACCAGACATCCAGTGTGAAAGCTTTACACAGTACTGTATACTGAAACAAAACTGCTGCAGGTAGTGTCAGCAACTAGGGCAGGAACCTCTGGAAATGGAGACAGAAGATTATTGACCAGGTTAGCTTTACGATGTGCATCAATCACAAACTTAATGGTCACTAACCTTCACTTGTCCTCAGTCTGGGAAGAACCACGCGGTTAGGTTAAAGCCAGTTTACAGTAGCAACGATGTTGCTGTCACTGGTCAGGAAGTCCCAGAGAATAGCTCCTGCCAAGTTACGATGATCCGTGGACAGGCAGAGAGCCCGAACCGGATTACCGAGTCAGATTATGTAGAAGACAATAGTAGGAAGGAGAAACAGGAGGATAAAGCAGAATCTTTAGTCGGAGCGAAGTCCAGGGTGAGAGCCATGTGATCAAAAGTCCAATGAAGCACCAGAGGGAAATCTAGGATGAGGTCGAGAAACAGTTCCAGGTTAGGTAACAGGCAGATCAGGGATCAGGCAGAACAGACAGGCAGTCAGGTCAGACAGGAATCAGGCTCAAAAATAGGGACAGATCAGTTCAAGCAAAAAGCCAGGAAGTCAGGAATCAGAATTCTGGAATAGATCTTACCAATGGCTTGAATTAATCTGGCAGTGATGTTTGGTCTGAAGGCTGGTTATATACTGATTGGTGCAGGTGGATCAGATGAGTACTGTAGATGGGGTGGAGCTGAGCAGGTGTGTCTCTCAGGAATCCGACCAGCATCAGTGCTCATCGGGATCATGAGTGCATGTGCTTTTTTTTTGTTTTTTTTTTACATTAGTTTTGTCTCTGTGTTTAGATAATATCACAACAAAAAATGAGGAAGATCTGCATGTCTTGGTTGCATCAAACAAATGCCGACCTGAGACTATTTAACACTGCTTAAATTCAACAAAAAACAAACAAAAAAAACACATAATGTACTGTATATAATATAATATAATTTAAAGGGCTTGTAACTTACATGCAGACTATGGAAATACATTTTTTTTATGTCCTTTTAAGTCTAGCTTTCAGGATCCCAGGTTGCCTCCTCATTCATTTTGTTCCGTTATTGTCTTCTCTTTGGTTTTGTACACACAAAGAAAGTGATTAAATCCAAACCATATGGTCATGAGACCTGTTTTTTCTGCATCCTGCTTCCTTACCATCATCCACTTTTGTTGTGTCTGCATATTAAAGGGAAACAAATTTCAAATATCTGGTTTTACAATCAGGAAGTGAAGAATTTTTGCAGGTCACAGTTTGGGACAGCACCTTAAAGAACATTTTAACCCGAAAACAACCCCCCCCCATAAGCTGTAGAAATAGATGTGTTATATTGCTGTTTATATATAACATACATTATTTTCTTGAAATTGTATGGTGTTGGCTTAGCCTTCCTCTCTTACCCCTGTTTGCTCTGTCCCTGATGAAGATGGAAGAGAGAAATCCTCTGTCTCATCCTATCACTCCTTCAATAAACTATAATCTCTGGGATCATAGGCAACATAGGCAACTCTCGTCTTTGGAGTAGTCTTCTTTTCTGTACACTCTAAAAAGAAAATGCTGTTCCAGCTTGAACGAATTGCATCAATTACTAACAAGTAGTAATAATAATTGAATGTCATTCATCTCACAATGTAGAAATTAATTTCCGCATCCTAATCCATCCCCTTGGGGAGCAGTGGGGGTTAAGGGTCCTGCTCACGGACCCAGAGTGCAGGCTGTGTGGGGGATCGAACCATGTACTTGCAACCTTCTCAGAGCCCAACACTGCTCCAAATTAAATTAG